CTTTTCTAGAATTTTCAAACACTTGTTATTTATTATTGCAATAATCATTTAAGCACTTGAGAAATGAGCTTTTAAAATCCTGCATAAACTCCTACAGCCTCACTTGTTTAACTGCCACTTTCTATTACGGAGGCACTAATGACTTTTGGATTGGATGTTAATGAGGCAGTGACGCAACTAAAACAATCATGTTTTTTTTTTTTTTTTTTTTTTAAACCATATCTTCTACATCGTCAGTTTTTATTCTCTTTTCAGCTTAAACTTGGACAAAAACCAACAGAGGTTCTGTTACTTCACAGATTTCTATAATAAGACTTTTGAATTAATGTGATTTGCTAAGCAAAGCTGCAGTAATATAAAGCAGGTGAACCAACACAGAGAAAAGTTGTCTTCAGCTTTGCCTCATCATGCCTGCATTTATTTTCATTAGAGGTTATCTCTCTGGCAGCCATAGCGATTGCAAAATCTTCAGGTGTTGCACTTCTCTGAAGACTGCGCCGCTTCTCTGTTTTTCAAAAGAACAGAAACTGCTCAGGGCCTTTTCTCTATGTTAGAAGAACCACTCTGTTGTGGTTTGTTGTGAAATATTATAGCATCTTAATAATTGTTAACCAATCGAGCAACTCTCATTCTGTTAGAAGCAAATATTTTATAAATCTGCTATAAATATACCGACTTTGCACAATTATTATGAAGAGCATAAAGGAGTTTAAAATGTACTCTAATTTATACTAACAAATTATGTTCTTTTTCAAGTTATTTTAATGAAATAAATAACACATTTATGAAGTCAATCAATGCTTAACTTGTAAACCACATAAATGTAATAAACTGCCATCAGATCTCTCCTGAAACTCTACCTTTTGTTTAACTTGTCTCAGAAAGTTCAATTTCAAAGGTAAAAAGTTTGTCAAACATTAAATATATTTAAAAAAATGTTTACAGATAGTTCAAAATACAAATGTTCTCTTAAATATAAACTTGTTTTTTATTTGTATACTAAATCACATCTTTTGTATGTATGGAATGAAAAAAAAATGTCTAATCATAGTCAAGGATACGAATCCAACTTCTTTATCTACATCTTGAATGAAATGATTGTTAGATTTTAAAGTATGATGAAATGTTTCATTATTAGTTGTTGAACAGATTTATGTCATTTAGGAAAAATAAACTGTAGAGACATTGAAATGAAATCTAACCGATTAGACGTGCAAAAAGCAGCAAAGTGAAGTTTTAGATTGATTTAAGAGAGAAGAAAAGAAAAGTCTGGAAAATGTTTGTTTTTTTGTGAGTGTAATTACGTATTGTGCAAACCTCATGCCTTTACCCCACACATAAACCCCTCCGGAGAGAGATCTTGTTTGAGGCCTGTATGGGCGCTGTCAATCAGCCGCCTTAGACTGACCTTTCATATTCCCACGCCCAGGAATGTGAAGGCAGAAACTCACTCACAAGTCTGTGATTCCTCAATGAGGAATCTAAAGAAGAAGAAACAAAATCACCTGTCTATGTCCTGCATAGACATGAATCCCAACAATTTTCTTCTTAAAAATAAGAAAATTGTTGGGATTCCTGTCTATGCAGGACATAAAAAACTTTTTTTTTACTTGCTTATTGTCCAATTGAAGCAGTTATTGCAAAGTTTGATGGTTAGCCAGTTCAGTGTTCCAATTAGCTGACACTCGCTTAACATGCATTAAAACACCCCCCCTGCCCACGCTTATTTCAATCAGTTTTGAATATTAGATCCAAAAACAATAAAACAATAACTTGTTTGAATAGCTCATATGATTATCCCTACTAACATTAACATATGATTCATACATTTCTATCTGACTAAAATTAATTTGATTCACTTTTCTATAAAAACCTGTAGACTGACACCACTAAACTGGATGAAGTATGTTGCCTCTAGAGGCAGATTGTCTTTGTAATACATTTTTAGATTCCTCTGAGGCATTACCTCCAAAATCTATTGAAAAGACCAAAAATAAATCTTAGAAGAGTTTTAAACCTTTAATATTTTTAGAAAATTACATACAAAAGGGGATTTTTAGCTTTTCCAAAAATATCTGAAGTTTTGTGCATTGTTCTTGTTTTTATGGGGTGAATGTACCACCAAAAACTATTCTTATTACAATTTAATTCCTATTTAAAACTTGGGTCTAATTTTTCCCTATTCAAGTAAATATTAGAGATCATGCCATTATTTGTTTCAGTTATGTTAAGTGGAAAAACCGTGCCTCTAAACAACATTACAGCCTTTCTTTTAAGACTTGCTGACATTTTGGGTTTTATTTTAACTCAAGAATGCAGCTTATTGATTTATTGTATTCAGTAAAGTACAACAAAGAGGATTCAAAGTATTCAATTTGCTTGAATTAAAGAAAAATAAGGATGTTTAAAAATGACTCACTGAGAGTCTTTGTTGTCGTTTTGCCTGGAACAAATAGTGATCTTTTACTGGATCTCTAAAGCAATTCATCGACCTCATATCTGACCTCATGTCCCCTGCCTTGTCTCAGCTAGAACACTGTGTTAATACGAAAAGGCAAATCTAAGTCTATTTAAAATAATTAGAGAGAGACGACCTTTAAGTGTTTCTTTGGGGTTTTCTGTTTTTGCTTTAAGTCTCCAGGTGTCGTAGGAATTTCAGATTTTGTTCCCATAATAACACGTTTGTCGCCTCAGCTCATCTACCTGCTTGCATGAACTCGCTGCCAAAGCCGGCTGCATACGTTTGATGTTCTCCAGCCCATGCTCCTGTGTTTTGTACCTCTCTCTGCCTCTCTGGTGCATTCTGGGATGCTCTTCCTCTGTTCCCTGGCAGAGCAACACATGAGCTGCTGTTAGGCTTACTGTGTTGCTTTGTAGGAAGGTAAACAAAGCAAGCTGTGAGAGAGAGGGTTCAACAGAGTTGCTTCCTGCTGTGATCTCCAAAGTTTTTCATTGGTCTGGATTGGAGCACCTTGTGTTTCCTCCATTTCTCCCCTCTGGCTCATTAACGCCTAAATTCCTCCAGCAGCTTTGAAGTGTGTTAAGCTATTTTCCCCCCCCTTCTATGTAGATATTTGTGCTCGCTGAGTCTGCAGCGCAGATGTTTGTGATAGTTGTTTTCTTCTGGAGTTTTTCAGGCCTCAAAATCCAGGGCACTTTTGGGGATAATCACATATCAATATGCAAAACCTCTTCTCTGTCTTAAGATCTGAAAAAGATCCAAAGCTGCTCTACTGTGATACAATCCTACCTGCTGCTTAACAGCTAGAAGTGAGATGAGAAGAGGACAAAGGACGATAAATCGACTGCAGTCGGAAATCTTCCAGTCAAAGCAAAGTGAAAGAAAGACCATTTCTGCCTTTAATCTGAGCTGCTGAGCACTGCAGAAGCCGGTTTTCCTCCTTTGCGTTTCATAAAGCATCATTGAAGTGCTACCTGCTCTGCTTAGAGGGAGGTTGCTAGTTTCCAACCAGGTGTTTATCTCTCCTCTCTTCTCCCAGGTTGCACTCTCCTCAGGGGTCATTTTGGTGCATATCTGAGTAGAAGATATTAAAGAAACTGCTTCCCCAGCTGTCTCTCTGCCCTCTATATGAAAACGCTGAGAACCTGAAACATTCTCATTATTGCCACGTTTAACCTGTCACATAATTCAGCTCCTAACTTTGCGAGCGTGTTACTCTGAGTCCTGGTAAATGACCCAGACAACCATATTTATTTCCTCTGAAGCTGTGGCTTGGCTGAGGCTGACAAAAAAAGAATACTGTCCATGATTTATTGCTTGTGCCACAGAGTTAGACGACTGTCTTCAGCTGCTGAGTCATTTGTTAAACACAGCATGGTGGAAGACCAAATAACGGTCACTCTACGGTCAACAGCAAAGAGCGGGTCTGTTTTATGTCCTTTCTCCCTCTACCCACCAGTCTGTGGTGGAATTTAAAACATGTCACACTTTCCTTCTTAAAGCTTTTGTGCTTCATTCCTTCATAAACAGAATTTAGAGAATCCTGCTGGACATGGGCTTTCGTGGCAGCTGAAAAGCTAACTTTGGCATCAGACCCAAACTCTGCGCCCGTGTGTGTGGTCTTTATCAAGGTTACTTTAGTCCAATCCAAGATGGTTTGACTGTAGCAGGTTCTAAATATTTAATCCAAGTTGTATTCAAATCCATGGACTGTCAAACTTAACATATTTCTGTTTACGTATTAATAATTCTAAAATAAAACCAGGACAGCAGAGTGAAGCTGTTTCTCGCCGGTGGAAGCTGCCATCAGCAGCTCTCTTTGTCAGTTTGATGCCGCCTCCAGAGAGTCTCAGTTCTGGGACAGTGCTGGCATGCAACATCAGGGGACAAACAGCCCAGAAGCCTCTGGACTTGTCAAACTTTGGATCCAGACACTATGTTGTTATTGTACCCAAAAACAAAATATTTCTGTATTTGATATCCAACTTACATATCCCTTGATATGTAAAAGAAATATATCTTATTTGGTGAAGCGTTGTGTCTTAAAGCATGGTAGACAGTTCTGCTCATGTCCATCTCTTTTTAATGAGGTCTTCTGTGCCCTGTAGCTGGATTTACCCCCCTCTTTAGGAGGATGTTATGTTCTTATTTACTCCCATGGAAATAGCTTTCAGTTTGTGAATGTATTGATGTTTGTCATATTACTGCATTACACAATGAATCAAGGAAAGCCAATTAAAATCTAAAAATGAAACATAGAAAATGGCCCATTAACTTTCACGTGCAACATTGCTATAGGGTTATGGTTAAACTTTCTGCAATAACTGTAGTGAAAGCCTTTTTATTTGTACATCAGAGCATTTTCATTATAAAACCAGCTACAAACATACAAAACAATCTTATAAATATTGTGTTTTAGAGAGAATATTACTGTGTTCTAATAGAAATTAACCTGACTGCTGAACTTTAAGATCTTCTTTAGCTTACTCCTGGTCATTTGCCTAATGTCATTTTTGACCCTTCCACTGTTTCTCTACAGTGCCCGGGAATTTAGGCTGCTACAAAGACACAGGTCATCCACCGACTCTTCCTGGGGCCCACGAAATCTCCAACAAACTCACAATTCAGACCTGCATCAACTTCTGTCGCAGCCAGAAATACACGGTAAGATTAACGCTGAAATCATGTTATGTTAGATAAATTGAAAGGACAAATAAAGTATATTGAATAATCCTTTTTCCTAATACATGAGTAAACAACATACCGTCCATATTTTACTTTAGTCGGTTTTGTTTTCATGTAAATCATGGTCAGTTTTATTGTCATTTGAATGCCCTTCTTATTCAGCTATCAAACATCCTGCTTTAAACCAGTCCGAAGATGACAAATCCTCCCAATAATGAGACCCGACAGCTGGAAATGAATGGCTGTCAGCCCACTGGGCACCTCCTCTCCAATGCTTTTTTCATTTTTCCATCACAGCCATTGTTGCCACCACAGATTGTGCCAGGTGTTGATTTTCTGTCCCAGCAGATCCACCTCCACTAGTCCACAATGACAGACACTGACGGGTCCTTCTCATCACATAGTTGAGCACATTTAAGGAAAGAGTAAAGAATTAATGTTGACTGAATAGCTTTTGGATTTTTCTTTTTTTTTTTATAAAGCATTGAGGCCTTATGAAACACGAATACTTGAAAATCTGGATCCCATGGGACTTTTTGACAAAATTGAAACATGGGTTTGAAGTCTGCCTCTCTGTGGCTCCACACAATTTCGTGTCACTGTTGATGCAACAAAAAGGACATTACTTTACAGCTCGTGAGGAGAGCAGAGGCTGAGTGAATTCTTGCTCCATGACATAAAAAATGGAGAGCGGGAAATGTTGCTTCTACCTTCTATTCATTAAAAGCATTTCAGACGAGAAACTGGAACAATGGTGTCCTTTTTAAATGAAAGACAATGATTCTTTTGAGCACTGGCGTCCAGTGAGAGGACATTATGGGTGATTTTTTGTTACTTTTTTTCACTTTCCTCTTCCAGCTCTTTGAGGACTTAATCGTCAAGTCCTATTTGTATTATAAAATATGCTATTTATGGCATTTACTTTGTTATAAGACATACATCATGTCTTGCAAAACGTAATTTTCCACTTTTGTCACCATACAACTAAACATTAAGGTATTCTATTTTTTGATCTGTTAATATCTGGAAAAAAGGAATTATATATCAACTTCCTCCTACAGATCATTAGCATGTCCTGCTTTGTATATGAACAGTTTGGCTGCAAGATGTTAAAGTTGCATACGATGGGGATTCTAATTGGTAAACTAGGATTGTCCCTGACAGTTTGTCATTACCACTCCAAATGTTCCTCATCCTCCTTCCAACACATTTGACTTTTGGCATCTTTGACGCTGTAATGTGTTTCATGTGTGAAAGATAACTGCATCTAGACTCCATCCAACAGGTTGACTATTCTTATTAGAATGCAAGATAAACACTTATGATACTTGCAATATCTTAGCCAAGAGATAATGCCTTCCAAAGTGTCCATAATGATGTTAATATAGTGAAGTCTGATATGTGACAGTGATATGTTTATGATATTATGGGCATCCCAAATGAAGAACATTTGTATACAGCAACTTTAAAGTCATTTATTCCTAGTTTCATATGGACCTGGGCTTTTGCAGGGATATTCCAACATATGAAGGATTCAATGAAAATCATTCTGCTCTTACTCTGGCTGTTAGTTTCACATCCTTATTGTTTTGCAGCCTCTGCCAAGTTTTCTTTCATAGCTGATTGGAATTTAGCTCTATCCGTCCTTCTATCAGCTCCTATCACCTTCTCTTTAGATGCAAAAGAAAAGCATTGCCACAGGAAAATGCTTTTACCATCATGTTTCACATGGGACACAATGTGCAGATATTCCCAGACCAAGGACGTTTCCCATACTGGTCAGTCTTTAGACTGTTGTTCTAAATTAGTCAGAGCACCATCCCCAACAACAAGACCTGTGTTGGACTTAAAATTGGATGTTGTATAACTTTTTTTACTTTCATTTTGACACACTTCATAAAGGCAAGATTTATTTTTGTTTAAGCATTCTTTTTATAGGTAAAGATTTCTCTGTCATTCTATCTCCCAAAATCTTAATGCATCAAAATATGTCCTGCAAGGAAAAGCTTACTTTTAATAGTTTAAAAAACACAATTGTGATATACAGTATGATGCTGAAACACTTGAAAAACTTTGTTGCAGCATTTAGGCATATTTTTTTTCCCAAGACCTGAGACAATCTTATTGTATATTTTCTCAATCAGCTAACTGAGTCCCTGAGGGGTTTTATCTCCTTCTCTGCCATGTCTAATTGATTTTAAATGAAAATCACTAACTGGCTTCTGTTCCAAACGTTGTGTTTCGCAGCTTGCCGGCATGGAGTCAGGATATGCCTGCTTCTGTGGCAATGAAGGAGACCTGCAAGACCATGTTAAATCATCCAACATGGAGTGTAACCATGTTTGCTTCGGTGATCACACTCAGCCCTGTGGAGGAGACGGCTGGATCATCGTCTTTGACAGTAAGCGCCGAGCTTTCCGAGTCTGATTTTTCAGGGGAAAGTGTGACTAAATGTTGCTGCTTGTATTTGCAAAGACTGACTGAGCTCTGCATACTATCATACCAAAGTGAACATTTTACACTGAGCCATGAATACTATCTATAACATTTTTCTGTGAGACTTAAAAATGTCTAACAAGCCTGCTCGGTACTACATGGTCAAAATAGGTTTACATTTCCCATGCGTCACAGTTGCAAAATGTTGTAAACATTTCTTTATTTTATACATAATGTAGAGCTTTTATTGTATTTGGCTGCACTAACTGCCCTGCTAGTTTTAAGAGATGTTAATATATTGACCATCACACTCACAAAAATGTTTCTACACCTTTATCTGTTGTTTCACTCATATATAATACAAAAGTGATATAGCCACCAATGTTTCGTTACAGTTTACTAAGCAATTTCATCAAACAACTTCTAAGTTGATCCTAGCTGGATACTAACACATCTGTTTTACAGAATTGGTAGAGTTGATTTAAACTGGTTGGTTCTTGAGAACAGTTTAGGTTTTCTTTGAATCAGGTCGCCTCCACCTCTGGCTGCTGCCCAATGCCCTTTGCACCAGTCTGTCATACTTCCCCTCTCAGGCAGTGGACCCACTGGGGGATTGCTACACCCTCTGGGCTTTGCCTTGCCAGGTTCCATGAGGAGCAACCCAACCACCAGGCAATGGGGAAGGGGGAGGTCCCGGCTCCACCATGCTGGGCGACGTTGTGTACCTTGGTTTTGTAGTCTTCATAACAGGTTTCTGAACCGTTGTTTGTCTGACCCATAACCCAGAGATTGTTATCCTTTGGAGACACTACCTGGGGAATGTGGGCCCCTAACAACATTGCCTTTGGGATCATCTAACCACTGAAACCGCTCCACCAGGATATGGTCCATTCACACCAATTGTGAACCCATGGCAAGGGCTCTGCATTTACATAGTGTCCTTATGCAAACCATGCTGGCAAGAGTGGTGAAGCGGCCAGCGATACAGATGAGCTGAAGTTGAAAAATCTGAGCTTTACTGTAAAGTCATTTCGGGGCAACCAATCATGGCCTGGTTGTGGTTTTGAACTAGGTTGAAGAAGTGAAACTAAAAAAAAACTTTTGAGTCAAAATGAAATAGATGAAATATTGCTGACAAAATATGAAATAGGGAATGATCTTAAGACATTTTTAGGCTGCTTTAAAAAAATCCTTATCCCTAGAAGGACTGTTACTCATCCTTCCTTACCCCCAGCAGACACCAGTCAGTTGCTGCCGCCTCTGCCTGACGGGCTTCTCTGATGTACCGCAGTCCTCTTTCGATCCACTGCCATTGATCATTCATCATTCATTAACCTTAGCTCTAGTGCAGACCCTGGCCATCCATTGCCTTTCCCTGGCACTGGTGGTGTCTGCCCAACCATACACAAGGAAGTACTGTGACATCTGACGATCATCCAGATGCAGACCTTGGAGTCGGTTGTGGTTCTCCCCTAACTCTTTCTGTCTCTGGAGAATTGGGTGGACTTATAGACAAAGATACCGATGGCATTGTTTGGCTTACCACAGCCAAACAAGCTCTGTGACTCTATCAATACAGTTCCTGTCCACCATGTTGAGCTAAAAAAAACTGTAGCTCAAGCTCCTCCTATAACTTTGCTTGTTGTGAGCACAATGAACTCCTCATAGTGCCTTCCTTTCATGAGGCAGTGACAATTTGAGTAAATCTATTTGTCACTGATTGTCCTTAAAACGTTATTCATCTTATTGTCTTTAATGATTGCTATAAGACAAATCGTCTCAATTCTGGAAAGAGAAACGTGATCACATGTGAGATATATTGTTACAAACACTGTCACAATACAGTTTAAATACACTGTAGAAGCTTCAGAACATTTACTTAAATATTTAAGTTATTTCATGAAGATATTTTATTTTGACCAGTTGTTATTTGGGGAAAATCCACAGGATGTTTAAACCTATATATTTTAATAATTTTGGATCAACTTAAAATGACAGTTGTTTGATTTTTTCCTTCCTAAAAAAAAAGGAAAATCAAAAAAGTAATTCAAAGCTTGCCATTTTTAGGGAATTCATGCCCATAGGAATCTTTTTTCTGCAGTTTTAGATACCAGGCGATGTAACGTTGATTTCTCCAACAGCATGAGCAAATGTATGTAATAATAAAAGGTGTTTTATCAGCATTAAAACTTAAACATTAACCATTTAGGTTATTCACCTGGCCTTGATAAAAAAAACTTGGACATCACATTTAGTGTTTCATCTAATCCCATGTTGTGTTTGTTGCATCCTTAGTATCACTAGGTACTTCTGTAATAAATTCATATATATATTTTTTTCTTCTTGCCTTTAGTCCGAGTTGGTGCCTGTGGTGGGAACTACACGTCCCCGACCGGGGTGGTTTACTCCCCCGACTTCCCTGACAAATACGCAGCCAGCCGCGTTTGCTACTGGACCATCCAGGTCCCTGGTTCCTACGCAATCCTCTTCAATTTCACCTTCTTTGACATCTCTGACCAGACCGACATGGTGGAGCTTCTGGACGGCTACACCAGGGAGGTGGTTGTCCGCTTTGACTGGCGCAGTCCGCCGCGGGAGTTGGTGAACATCACAGGAGACTTTGTTATTCTGTACTTCTTCTCAGATCGCACCAATCAGGCCCATGGATTTGCTCTTTTGTACCAAGGTAAGATGCTGAACTGACTGTATCTGACAAGCTTAATAGCCCTTTGCCCTGCAGTGTGAGTTTGGTGCTCTTGGTATACCTGGTGAGGTACAAAGCCTTGAAAATTCAGTCATAATTCTTAAACATTTTGACGTTTTCTCAAGTAAGAGCCCTAAAGTTTATTTTATTGACTTTTTTAAACAACATAATCAAAACCAAATTTTATGGTTGTGAAGTTAAAATAAAACAGATGGTTTTTAGAAAAGAATTATTCGGACAGGTGATGTGCAATGCGACGAGCTGCCTTCAGAAGTCAACCTATGTGTAATTTATTGTCAGCATATACGTTCTGTGATGTCCTTAGAGGTTTGTTTTAGAACATTTCTAAATTACCAACATAATGATAACCAGTAGCATGGTGGGGGTGAAGTTGTGAAAAAGTTCAAAGATGAGTTATTGTGAAGAAAGGTAGCTTACTCTTTAAACATTTTTAAAGGGTGTTTAGTCTTAGCCTGGCAAGACAAGTTGAATTACACCATGTGTAATTCAAACGCTTGTCAGTCTGGGCAGACTCTGTGTTCTAAAACTTACTGGACCAATCGCAGCACAGAAGGCGGGGGTTTGGTCTTAGCACCAGAATTACCCATAATGCAGCAACAGTTTTCTTAGACTTAGACGTAATTTTGTTTTGTACAGCACTCATTATATTTCAATTTCTTAAAGTGCAGCAGAGATCAAATGTAAGCAATGCCAGACAAACCAAACATGGTGCAAAAAAAAAAACAACTCATTGATATGGTCAGTTTAAAGACTGTGACATTTTTTAAGTTACCACAGTGGTGTTGATAGAGACTGCAATGGGGTAATGTTTTATTAAATCCTTTCATTGTGTCCTGAAGGAGCTGGATATATCTTTAAACCTTAAACAATTGGTTGCATTAAAGGCTTTTCTTTTAAAAAAGAAGTTAGTCCTGCCCTGGTCCCGCCTTTGACATCTGGCTCTACTTGCTCCTTTTCAAACTGATACGCTGTGTTTGCAGCATTGGCTTAATAGGCTATAGTCCATCATATTGTGCAAGGATTCTAGGACTATGATATATCTGTGAATCGATTAAGACTTAATTGCCTTTTTTGAGGGAAGAATATTAGTTTGCTAGAAGCCATATATAATCGAAACAGCAAACAAGAGAAAGAAAAGTGGTCAGTTCAAATCAGCATTAAATGTTTGGGTCAAGATGCAAAACACTGGGTAAATATTACATCCCTCTGAGACCATCCCAAGAGGGAAATGTTTTTTTGTTTAACGAGGGAAGGAGAGACAAGATTTATATGCAAGGCATATTTTAGAATGGCCTTGTCAAAGTTCAGACCTAAATCCAATTATTAAAAATGAATCTGTGTTGAAAGTCAGCGCTCTCAAATTGGGATGAAACCTTTAAATGGATTAATCATGATTAATCAGTTAATGAAATAACGGCCAGCTAATTCAGTAATCGATTGAATATAGACTCTAAAATATTTAGCTGACAGAGCAACCCACTTAGAGCAGTAGTTATACAACGATTGTAAAATAATATGTAAATGTTTTGCATTTAAGAACTCTTCAAGAGGAAAAGTTTTGGTTTTACCTGGTTTAATTTAGTATAAAGTCTTCTTTAAGGAACCTTTTGCAATCCCATTATTAATCCGTTAATTGAAAAAATTATTAACAGATTAACTGATTTGCAAAATAATAATTAGTTGCAGCCCTACTCTCAAATGCTGTTCATCCAACCTGACTTTGTTAGAGCTGATCTATTCGCTGACAGGAACTGAGAAACTATTCAATTCGCAGTATATAGACTTTATCTATAAGAATGATTAAACTTATTAATTTATCTCTCGAGTTGGGCAGTTATGTCCCACCTTGTGCTGATCTAACAAAAATTGCAACAATTTTTGTTCGTCATTATAATGTGACACAAGGTTAAAATGTTCAGCAAGACGATGCAGATCTCAGGCCTTTTCTCTTTTCACAGCTGCAGATGATTCACCATATCTAGATGAATCTGTTTTTATTTTTTATTTTTATATTTTACTTTCCCAGAGTTTGCTCGCTGCTGGACTCCAAGGAAATATGTTGGACATATATGTTCAAAAAGCAGTATGCCTTGTTATAGTCCCATCTTAGCGCGGACCACAGCTGTGAGAGCTGGGATGAATTTAAAGCCGTTAGTTTTATCCCAGACTGCTCTGCTGTGTTTTATGAAGTGTTCTCTTTAAAATCCATGAGACTCATTTAATAAGTTACTTTTTTTTTTAAAGAATGAGTAAATAGCACAAAGATATAACTCAGTGTAGGTGACATACAATATCAGAGGGACACACACAGAGAGAGTGTCCCTCCCTGCTCCTCCATCCTTGTCACTATTTATATTCCTGTCATTTTTCTGGCTCAGTGGAGTTACACTAAAACAATATCGAAGGTCAGGATCTCCTGACTTCTTCAGAAAAGTGTTTTTTGTTTTGTGTGAGGCTTTTTGTAGCAAAGAAATTGAGACACGATACCAAGAAAAGGTCACCACACAGAATCAAAGCTTTTTTTTGGTTTAAGACAGAAAAAAAGACCCTTTACATCAATACCGTAGGTGCACAGAACATGGAGCCAAGCCGAGAGAGAAGAAAGATTACCGAGTGTGATTATCGCCACTAAATCCTTTCAGTATCTCCATGGTGGCAGGCTGGGAGGTAATTTCAGGGTAAACGCTCTCAGATGAGGATGGTGGTGCGTTTCAGCTGTGACTGGGTTTGAAGCATGCCATTTGGCCTGCAAATGGGAAACATGTGGGACGTTCCGGGAACATCACAGACAGGTTGAGCTATTATGCGAAAAGTAGGAAAAATATCCCACGCTGCTTTCTGATCCGACCACCATTCACGACAGACAGAGACGGGCCTGGATGGAGCAGTCTTTAATTGTGGTTCTGGGTCTTTGATTAAGACAATTCAGTAGACTGTTGCCCTCAGACTAACTTATGTTAAGAAAAAAAAACTTCAACAAATAACCAGTCTCGTCTACATTTCTGTTTTTAAAAGACACTGGATAGGCTAAACAGCCGCACCGCGTGCAGTTCTGCTGTAGAGTCTGCTAACAAGCTAACGGTTGAGTCATTTGTTGAAGGAGAGATGCTATAGAACTGGATGCACAACAGCTTTCAAGCACTTAGATTAAATACTGCACTCAAATCCTTTTTAAAGGATTAGCTCCTTCCCAATAAGTATTTATAATAATAATTGTAATTTTATTTCTAAAATTAAACAAAACAACAAAAAAGCTAAACAGATCAATGGCTTTTGAAATAGCTTCATGCTCTGAACAACATGTTCATTTTCACTCTCATGTCTTTGTAGCCCTCAGACGGCAGGACACCAGAACCACAGTTCCTAGAGGTTCTGATGAAAGCGAAGACTCCTCCAGCACGTTGGGACCGCAGCTGTCCAGCGGCGTCACCGAGCGCTCCAACAGCACAACGAACGGGCGCACCTCGCACATCCTCTACGTGATCACGTCCAGCCCCGGCAAACCCGAGCACAACATGCCAGGTCAGTGGGCTGGACGCGACGAGACCACCGGCCACACCGCTAGTATGTTAACATCCCTGACACTCTCATCTAAGCATGAACCCGTAACTCTGAAAGTATTTTTGGCTACCTCTTTCTTCTGAAATACTTCTATATGTTCAGACCTATTATGGCTCCATATCTGAGTGAAGCGCAATAAGAGCTTTAACTACCTGACAGTCACTCAGTAGCATTCCCTGATGATCACAACCAGACACTTTGTCAGAGCAATGCATAGTGAGCAGAAAGCATTCCAGAGCCCCACATGCTTTGCCTCATCCAACTATCTTTTGTTTTCCTCAGCCAGAGGAGAACAGATGTGCGCTGATAATGTGTCACCATTTCTTGACAATTTGCTGGCTGAACACTGCAAACAGGTGTGCCAGCAGTGCTCGAATAGTTCTTCTCCTGCTAATCTTTCCAGGGTTTGTTTTCGTTACTGTGACAGGATGTTTGATGTCTTCTTACTGATTCGCTCACTCTCTCTGCAGTGTGGACCATCTACGCTCTGGCCGCTCTCCTCATTCTGACGGTGGTGGCCATGGTGGCCAAGCTGCTGCTCCACGTCACAGTCAAGTAAGTTAGAGGATATTAGAAGCGAAAGCCACCAAGCGACAAATGTTAAACCTTTTCATCTGTGCACAGCTTTCCTGACGTGACATTTGCAGATTTTCAATCTTAGAGTGTAAAAAGTTAAAGGAGTTTCAAAAAAGAAAGAAAACATCCTGTGGGATCATTTCTCATAAGTAGTTTCCTTTTACTCTTTTAATGTCAAGATCCTACAGACAGGAAAATTCTGAAGCAGCAGCAGCATAATGTTTAGGAAAAAATCTAATCTTTTAAACATTAGGAACTCTCTAAGCATACAGCACTTCAGAAAAAAAAAACACATACTGAACAGAAAATTTAACTATTTCAGATAAATCACCCCTTGGAGGAGCCAAAAAAACATGTGTTTAAATAAAAGTGTAAATTATAGAGAAAGGAACAGGATGTCTCCATGGAATAACCCCAATCTGCCTCGGCCTTTTATAAACAACAAGAGTTTAGTAGCTCATAGTAACAGTATAATTAGTAGCCCACAACGCTGTGCATTCTGGATCAGATCGGTGTATGTGAACAGCTCCAAATGCAGGTGTAAACACACTTAAATCCCTCCCTAAAAGCAAATTGAAAAAGTGGTCTGACTCACCGTTCTGTCTCAAATCATGATTAATGACCACTCAGTTGTATTATGTTTCACGATAAAAACTATTTGTTATTCCTCCTGATTTAGTTTGGTTAAAAAAAAAAGATAATCTATCATAGGTAGCACTAATATTAGGGGTTTGATAAGTGAAACATTGCTCACTTTGCAGGGTGACATTCTGTCAGGTTGTAGCTGGACTACTTAGATAAAATGTTGAACCCTTATGATTTTTCTATTGCCAATTTGCCCTTCATTCATTTTTTAATAGAAGAGCATATTCAGTATATAAGGCAGCCCATAACGCTCAGAATTATATGATTTTTCCTACTGCCTATATCTTATTATTAATGAAGCCATTAGTTTACTCTGCTCTAACTGGTGGTATCATATGTTTCTGATAGTAAAGTTACCAAAGTGTGAGGATTAAAGATCCAGTCTGAGGGATGTAGTGACATCTAGTGACTTAAAACAGACTACAAATGGTGATTAAGAAAGCATAAAATACTATTTTAGCCGCCCTTTTTAAGACAAAGTCCCTCATTCAAAGTCTTTCTCTATTTGTACTTTTTACCTTTTAATTAAATTGCCTGCTTTCCATTAGCCTGTCACCTTACTGTTGGTATAGCTTAATTTGATCCCTGAGGAACGATAAAGGATAATTGTATTCTACTAATTTCTAGTTTAATCTGTAAATATGTATTTGTAGACTTTATTTTTTTATTTGTTTTATTATGGATAAACATCATTAAAGAAGTGGATTATATTTTTGTGAACTTTATGTTATATTCAAACAACTGAATCCAAAGTTTAATATAATAATGATAAGTACTGGAGTTTTCTTTTTTAAATCAACTTCATATTTGTTTCATGCGGCTCTTATCTTTTTTCCTTCAGGACCCCGAACATCCCGACAGTCAGTGGCTCAGACAGCTGCAGCCAGAGCACAGTGTCCTCTGAGCCGTGGATCATCCTCTACCGGCCCTCCACCATCTCCCTCTTCAAGAAGAAGCTAAAGAGCCATCATGGGGATCTCAGCCCTCTGGTGGGCCACTAGTGCTGCTGCTGCTGCTGCTCTCCACTCTTATTGCCATCCACGAATCCTCTGTACGAGGGCTGTCAGATGACATGGCCCTCAGACAGTGAAATTCAATGAGGCGCTTGACTAATAAGCAAACGACTGAGTGATTAATGACAACTGACTCAGTGACTGCCGCCAAATGGCCTTTTGGCCAAATAAAAAGAAAAAAGATGGCAAGGCAGTCTCATTCCTCTCGGCACCAAAGAAGGAGGGTCACGCAGGGGTATAAGGGACCACAGTGACAGAGAGGAGAACTATAAGGCTGCATAGAAGCAGATCCGCAGCTCTGACGGACTTAAAAGGACGCTTTTAACATGCAGGAGGCCGTTTTCATCCATCGCAGCCGTCCTCTGCAATCAGCATACCTCTAAAATCCCTCCAGACTGCAGCTTCGCGGCTGAAAATCCAGAGCCGCATACAGAAAACTCGGACACTTGCAGTCAAAGCTTAACAGCTTCACAACTCATAACTGCCTCAAATGGAAGAACATTTGCTGTAACAAGCCAGAATCCTTTCCCTCCAAAGAGTCGTAGATGTTTGTCTTTTTATTTTCCGTTTGCAGATGCTTCCCTTCAATTTTGTTCTTTCTCTCTTTAACATGTCTGTAGAAAATAACTTGGGGATAGGGAACTAATGGTAATGGAGGTATCAAAGCACTTTGGGTCCAATTGTAAAGACCGGAGTGAAGAAGAGCCCCCTCGTCTTTTTTTTTGCTGAAAAATTTGGGTGAGAGAAGAAATATCATTGTGAAAGTTAGGGGAAGGTCTGGATTGTTGACAAACTGCCATCTAGAGATGTTTAGGATGGTGTGAGCCCAGCCACTCCTCCCCCCCTCCATCCCATGTGTGCTGTGGGTAGGAGTCTATTCAGTTTGATGGTGTTTAAGTGCCTTAAGGATCTCCTCTTCCACTGCCATCACTCACAAATGATCTAATTGATGCAGACGCGAGGACTGAGACCATCACCACAAAAAAAAAACAGTCAGAACTGTTGTGGTGGGGGGGTGTATACCCAGAGCCATCCCTAGAGCAACTCTTCATGTAAGCCAGACAAGGCTTTGAAACGTATATTTTGTTTAATTTGTGTGCTCTTAATTGTAGTCTTGGACACTTACTGAACATATTGTTCACATTAACTTTCCTTCTTTCGATTGCGGGAAACAGGGGGTGAATATTGTTGTATATTTATGACCGCTCTTTGATTTCATTGTCTCAGCGAACCATTGGAGAGGCCCATCTGTTTTTATTTGAAATGTTCTCATTAGACCAGCTACAAAAGGGGGACGTTCAGACAGCTTTCAAATGTCTTGAGAATCAACAGACTTGAGTGTTTGGGCTTTTCACACAGATTTTAGGCCTAGAAGGTTGAGCTCAAGTGATACACCCAAAGACTGTTAGCGTTACTACCCGCAAACTAAGGTCGAATTTTTAGCTGGGACAATTTTAGCTACTTGAGGAAGGTCTGAATCTACTTTTTTGCTGTCAGCAAAGCAGTTAGTCTTTCATGAATGAGGTCAGATGCTAGAGGTGGTGTCCTCAAATCTTCCCTCGCTCAATGCACTTAATTCTGCTCATACTTATGATACAAAGCAGTACTTATCCTGGGTTGCATTTAGCTTTGGGTGAAAATGAACTAAAATGAGCTGATCTGCAACCTTAGCACTTGAAGCAAAGAGAAGAATCATGCAGGATCTAAATCAATAAAGAAATAATAAGAATCTTTGTCTCCCTAATTAGAAGTAAAAAAGAAAATAAAAAAGTCACACAGTTCTATCTGCTGCTCATCATCTCAGCTGTAACTCATGTTAATTATCGCAGGACGCGAGCAGATGCCCCTGCGATGTTCAGAGCAGACCATGCGTGGAGAGGAGCAGGAGTGAAAGAGGGACGGGAAAAATTAATGCGCTTTCAAATCAAACACAAGCTAACCAAATGTGACACTCACTGTCTAACAAGGGTATATTTGTTTGGCTAGCCCGGTGAATTATGCAAACTCCTGTCTTCCATTCCGTCCTCTAGTCAGTTGGAAAATTCCACACTTTTTTTTCCAGAGTAGTCAAAAATGGCCCCCTTGAAATTGTTGTGAATGTCCTGAAGTGCTCGATGACATGAAAACAATACCAGAGGCCCTGTGGGAAACGGTCATAAGGGGCCAAAAACTTTGTTTTCATCTAAATGTAAATAACAAAATATAGTGAAATGTTAATTTATACAGTAAATTATTGTTATTTTGTATGTGAATGGGATATAATCTATCTTTTGTATAAGTGAAGTATCTTTGTAGTTTTATTTAATGTGTCCTGGTTGCAAATAAACACTGTATGCATGTTTCTAAAGGATGAGTTTTGTTTTTCTTATTTTTTTCCCCATTCTGATGTTAAAACAGGCTTTATATCATCACTAAACTCAGCATTTCAATCTCTGAGATGCATATGGGACACAAATATCAGATCAACCAAATCCCATTCTCTCGCAATCCATTTAAGGCCTTGTGTGGAAAAAAAATAAGCCCAAACTCTGAAAATCTGTTTTTCTTTAATAGATCAAGGCTTCATCGCTTGCATGTTTGGGCATCTACTCCACCTCCTCTTATGTTTTTCTTTTTTCTCTATGAAGCTAAATGCTTATCAGATATATGCAATGGCTCGCAGATTGAGAGGATTTAGACCACCATGTGTAACCTATTGCTTTCCCTCTGAGACGAGGTCAAGCGTGCAACCTGGATGTTTGGGAGGGAACAGCAGGAGTCCAGCTTTAAAACTTGAGCAGCAAAAAACAAAAATAAAAAAACACACGAGGATGTGAAAGAAGCCGGAATTCCTAAGATATATTTTTAATTCATAAAATGTGTCCCTTTGTTTCCTCTTATCTTTGTTCTCTTTTAAGCAACTTAGAGGGTTTTCATTTTAAAGAATATCCATCTGATGCAAACCATGTTTTTGCAGTGCTTAATACAACTCTGGGAATTTGATCAAATTACTAGTGGAACAATTATTGGTTCTAGATCCGCTTCAATCTCTGCCATCCATCTCATGAGCTTAGAATCTTAGAGCCTTCATTCACAGAACTACTTATTGTTCTCAGGTTCGCGGTACGAAGTGAAATGGGGGGAAAGTTTCCATGTATGGTGCTCCCTTTGCTTTGAACAAACACCAAAAAGACTTGGAACTTCCTGACATGATCTCATTGGAAGCTTATCAGAAAAAGCAAGATGATTTAGAGTCAGAGGCATCTCTTTACAGACGTCTTGTTTGATTTTAAGAACTGAATTTCATATATCTGTCAGTTTGTATGTCCTTCTGTATATATTTTAAATCTGTCCTGCTGCTGCTGCCTTGGCCAAGACACTCTTGCAAAAGAGGTTTTTATTCTCTCCATTTTGCTTTTCCTTGATCAAATAAATGTTTAATAGAAAACAAAAGCAAACATCACTCTAAACTACTAAAGGAAACGTTAAGAAATTAATGGAGGATTATTACAGAAAGCAATTCAAATATATTTTGATTCAAGCTCATTAAATCCAATTGAAGGAAAAAAATCTTGCTAAATGTCAAAGAAAACTTTTATTGTAATTGTTCAGACTATTCAAGAACTTTTTGTTCTGTTTTTACTTGAGAAATAAATATGGCCTGACACAGAAGTGAATTCCTTTAAGCCTCCAGCCACCAACTGGACAGGGGCCCATATTTATCTTACTGCTGCACGCTGTTGAGGATGAGGGGAAGTAAATCATTTCCAGTGCTAACTCATGTAGTGCTGTGGCAAAAAAAACAAAAAACAAACAAACACATCTTTAAGGAACCAATAGTATCTATAAGATAGTTCTTACATGCCACTGGATGTTTAAACAAAGAATGCAGCTTGCTTTCATTAACTTAAATCAAACATTATAGAAATGAATTAAACACAGACTGATCATTTTATGACATTATTCATTATTGGTCAGATCAAGGCATAAATTTAAGGTTAATTTTGTTTCAAAATGATTTTTAATTTCATAAGTATCAAAATAACTCGCAGATATATATGCATTACTGCACCTTGTGGTTTATTGACATAAACAACCATTAAAAATACTGATTAAAAAGTTTATATTGAGAACATTGTTTATGCATTCTGTTGTGATTGGGAATTTAAACATCTATAGGTAAAAAGGAATCAAACCATAATGAGTCAGTTTCAAGCAAAGTAGAAGACCTGATCACCATTGTAAAGTATGGTGGAGGGTTTGTAATCCTGAGGGCCTTTTTCTCTTCTAAATGAAATGTGTGCCTTGCTCCAGTGTATAAAATATTGGACAGAGCTCTGACAGAGTCTTCTATAAAATTAAATAAAATAAATGTCACTGCTGGGTCCTAGGATTAGGAACAAATTATTCAAGTCATATCACTACCTTATTAGGGAAATGTTTATCTGACACAAAATCTTTCTCTCATAACTGCCATCGTCTCCAGACTTAAATCCCATAAGAAACCTGTACATTTATCTAAAGAGAAGAGAAGAAATTGAAACTTGAAAAAAAACTGTCTAACATTTCAAGTTATGTTTTTTTTTCCCCCTGTCAGTTGTTATTGGATTTAGATACATTTTTCTCTCCCAAAAGTAGATTTTCAATGCCATACATCCATTTTAAATCGCGCTTATCCCTCCCGGGGTCACGAGGGGTGCTGGTGCCTATTTGCAGCTGTCAATGGGCGAGAGGCGGGGTACACCCCGGACAGTTTGCCAATCTATTGCAGGGCAACGCAGAGACAAACCATTTATGCACACACTCATATCCAAGGAGAATTTTAGAGAATTAACCTAACTGTGGGGGGAAGTGTGAGGAAACCGGAGTAACCGGAGAGAACCCAAGCATGCACATGGAGAACATGCAACCTTACATAAAAGCGGTTGACTCAGGTTTGAGCTCTCAAAAATCATCGCAGCCCCCACCCCCATACAGACAGGCCAACAATTCCCTCTAACAACCACTTTTCAGAGACATGTATCGGATATTGCAGACTTAGAAAGAACCCAATGACTGCCAATTCCTAAGGGGCGGTTCAATTTGGTCTAGTTCAATTTGCATGTTTAGTCAAAACAAGGCTTTGTTTTTGGTCCACTCTATAAAGCTCTATAAAAACGGTATTCCTGACATTTTGAATTAAAAAAGCGTTCTGGATGGGAAGCGAAACGTCTTCAAACTTGGGGAAAAAAAGTCTAGTGGAATCTTTTTTTTTTAAACTTTTTTGGAATGACTATGACCTGGATGACTGAGAATCTTTACCAGCACATAAAAACAGCATGTAAAAAGACCTCAGGCGAGGAATTTAACCCAGAACCTTCTTGCTGCAAGGGAGCAGTGCTACCCACTGCGCTTTTCACGATAAATCCTAAAGAATAAATCAGCTGATCAGAGTTCTTTTGTGTTTTCTGTTTACATTGTATACTTCATGTTTTCTTCCTTTTATATTGCATGTTTTTTTTTTTTTTTTGCAAAGATTTAACTTGTAGGCTATTACATAAACCTACTGCTTAAATGCATATCCATTATATCAGCAGCAAATATGCACAGTAATTAGTTTAAGGAAAACTGTTCTTGTTTTCATGAATATTTGCTTCTGCTTTTCCAACCACAGTAGAACCTTTGGTTCTGAGGTCATTTATTGATTGATTGGTTGATTGATTGATTGATTGATTGATTGATTGATTGATTGATTGATTGATTGATTGATTGATTGATTGATTGACTTTTTTGATCTCACAGTGGAGAAATGTACTTGTAACATCAGCTCAAATAGTCAAACAGAGAAGAAGAAGGTGCCAAAGGAAGAAAAAGATGCACAGGATTATACAGTGTGTCCACATATTTTTATAGTTGGTTTATTATACAGGGTTATTGCACAGGGTATTTATATAGATGGGTATTTATATAGCTATTGCTGTGGGTGTCAAAAATAAAGAAACAGGTTATTGTATTGGAGTCAACCTCTGGTTTAAGCATGCAGGTTTCAGACACACAGGTTTGACAAATCTGTCACATGTCCACAATAGAGCCTTGCAGATTAGTCACCACTCAAGTCATTAAATGAAAAATGTTTTGCCCTCCATTGCAAAACATCTGTAGGAGCAGCCTTTCCTCTGAAGAAAACCCCTCTGGCTCCCTCTATTGGTTGTAGAATATTTCCACTATTGCTGGCTTTACAGTTAAAGTGTTGTATCCATTTGTTACTAAAACAGCCAGATTCTTTGCAGACTTCAGCCTTTGATTTAGACATTTTAAGCGGAGCTTTCTCATCATTTTTCTTTGTCTTTGTAACAAGCCAGAGCCTGGAGCTCCCCTGTGGTCAGTCCTCCCAAAGCTGGGAGAAACATTGTGCTGTAAGCAGATCCCCCTGAATCCAAGTCCACAAGTAATTTAGGGAACAATGAGACAAAAGAGGACGTGTCTGGTTACTGCAAGGATGGGAAAGTGAGAAGAAAAAGAGACAAAAGCTGCCCTTTTCTGCACTCAGAAAACCAAAGACAGGCTGATTTAGAGGAGTTCCTCTTCCCTGATGGATCAGTGAAATATCTTTGTTAAAAAATGGTTACAGGCGGTGCAGCAACTTTGTCTCTTTTGATCTGACTCACTTTTCAATACAGTAGTATTTTACAGTAGTTTGTGAATAGCTATATGCACTTGCTTATTTAATATTTAATATTTCATTTCTATTATATTATATTCATTCTACTAAAAGAGGTTAAATTAGACCAGATATCACCTTTGCCTTCAAGATAATAATTTTATTCAATCATGTCTTCTATATAAAAGGAAAACCTCCAAGTATTTCTGCCTCTACAATATTTCTATCATCTTTATTAATACTATATTACAACAAAGTAATTTCCTTTCATATTGTTGGTCACAATGGTTTTTTTCCCCATCAGTACGAAACCATTCATCAGTTTCTATGGCAACAGATGGAAAAACTTCAACAAACTTCAATCTGCATAAATGCAGGTTAGTGCTGGAAGGTTTGTGTGCATAACTAAACTTCTTAATCCCAAATAGAATTGTTTGTAAAGTAGCTTTCAACACAAAAACAAAGGTAGTAGTTGAGAAATATGAGTTTTATTTGTTTTCTTTTTTTTTAAGTTTATTGTTCTGTTAAACACGTGTCTATTTAAAAGTCATAGCCATTTGAATTGGAAGGTGTACTAACCTTTATATAATATTTTTCTTACAACATACAAGAATCCTACTGTTTAGCATGATGCTACCATCACGATGCTTTTTTATTAGTTTTATATGTCTTAAAGATTTACTTTAAATCCAAAAGACATACAAATTTTACAAATAACTTTGTTCTAAGGCCATGTGTAACAATTAAACCTATCTCTAGAAGTTTATTACACTCATGGCAAACACGCATTACTTTAGAATAAATTAAGCAGATTAACATTGCAATACTTGATGTTTACAATAGAAACCAAATTTTTTTTAAAAGCAAAACAAATACAGGTTTTCTTTCTGAAATTAAATTAAAAACTATTTGACTTGATCAACGTTTTGGGAGTATCAAATATTTTTTTTATTTTTATTTTGGCTCTATCTAAAATTCTTCTTGTGAAAAAGGTTAAATAGATTTTTGGTGTTTTTGGTAGAATTGCTTCTTCATCCATTGGCCTTGTGGTTGAAACGTCTTCTTATGAGTAAGAACAGCATCTCTGTAACAGAGATGCTGTTACAGAGATGTATATGCTCTCTTGCTCATCCAGGTTTTCAATACATATATAATATATATTTTTTTATTTTATATTTTTAGATAATGGAAAGGTAGCTAAACATTGTCATGGTGTTTATTTGTAATAAACCATCATATAATTGTGTAACTTTCAAAACAGATGGTGGCATTTAGAACCCTTACCCCAAAATAAACCAGGCTTGTAAAGGTCCTTGTCTGTCTTTCTGATATTTTGCCTAATTTCTTTTATTTTTCCATGTCACAGATGATCTCAGTGGGTTCTAGGTGTTGCTTTAAAATACATCCATGGTTATGTTTCCATATATATATTGAAGTAAGTTAAACTCTCAGAAGTCTTTCAGAATGGCTTAAACATCTGATGATCAGAATTATATGTAGTCCATGTTTTCTTCGAAAAGTGCAAAATGTATGTATTTTTTTAAGACAATGTCACCTATTAAGATCAGGCAGCAATTAAATTTTAGAGTTATTTTATGAATGGACAAAAATACACCAAGGCAAAACTAATAATCTTATGTATATTCCAGCTGTGCAGATGTATTGAAAGGTAATATGCTGGCTTACATTTTAGTATATGCTGTTCTCCAAATTCAGAATACAGAAATATTTCTCTTTTTTGTCAAACATAAAAAAATCAATCAGTTTGGTCAAATTAGGAAACTTAAAAACTGCAAATTGATAGTTTTATTACGGATCACAGTTAGAAAAAAAAGTCTATGTATAAAGGCTATGTAAAATCTTGTTTAAAACAATTCATAAATTGAAAAATGTCTGATATTGAAAACGTTAGCTACATGGATGTGCTGTTGCCAGTTATGTTGCCTTTGTTCACTCAGTTTGCATGCACCCCTCCAGCCACCACCACCATGCAGGTATTGGATTAAATTGTGGCTGGCTATCAGTATGTTCATGCGTGGTTGTTTGTCCTGTTATGTCTGTAATAGACTGTAATAGTCTATAATAGACTAGAATAGTCTATAATAGACTTGACCAATGCAAATGACAGTCCCCCCCAAGCAAGGAAAGTCAGTAGGCCTACAGTCAGTGAAGTGATGGATTAAGGGATTATTCTGATTGATAAAAAAAAAAACATAATTTAACAGATAAAGTCATTAAAAAAGTACTTATACAAATAGTTGAAAACATTTAGAGGGATTATTCTTTCTAAATGCATATTCCGCCCTAAATGTCTCTGTGTACTCACTAGCAAGCTTTGGTAATGTATATTTAAAATTCTTTAACAATCTTGTTAAAATAAAGCAGCAACAAAAATCGATTTTGAAGTTTAAATTGCAGTACACTAAATGGCCACCAGAGAGCAGCAATAATCTACCTGTGCGTGTATCCGCCCCGGTTTATCTGAGGAGGAAGAATAAGGTTGCGCAACTTGGCAACATGGCAGCGTCCGTGCGGCTCTTGTTCCGTCGGATATCTCGTCTTTCTCACAGAAATATAACCTCTGCTGCTGATAGTTTTTCACGCCGGCCAGGCTGCTGCTTTGGTCCTTTTCCCTCTCGCTGTATTAGTGACGCAGCAGAGGACAGAAACACACACTTTGGCTTTGAGACGGTGCCCGAAGCGGAGAAGGCGAAGAGAGGTGAGACAGTGGAGACCCGGAGGGCTGCCAACCAAATTCCGTTTAAATAACCTTTGTTTATTATCATTCGCTTTTTTTCACACACGGTATAACCCGTCAAGAAAGCTTGATGATGTTTCTAAATTCTCGAAGACTTTTTAAATAAATCGGCTAATTTCTTAGCATTGTAATCTTATTCTCTAATTATCTGGACAGTTTTAAACCTAATATTAATCTGTTGGTTAATATAGAAGGATTGATAGTGAACTTGAGTTCATTGCCTAAACTAATGCAGGATTAACACACCCTTCGATGCAATATAACATTATGGTATTTTTATTTTTTTTTTCATTTTGTAGTTTAATATTTATCTAATTCATCTCACTGGGTAAATGATTCATTTTAGAATATAGTAGAAATAAGTTTTACAGCCCCATTCTTCAGGTTTAAAAATGCAAATGGAAATGTATAGGTTCACATCTCTCTTAAAGCAATATGAGTTATAAAACTGAAAATACTGTATAACACTTTTTTTTTATACTGTATAACAATTTTCTACAAAATTACTGCTTCCTCTGTTGTGGCTTGAATATTTTCCAAATGTCCTGATCTCAACAAGTGACCTTACAGGTCAAGTTTCTCTCTGTTCCAGTGTAAGGTCAGAGGAGCTGGATTTATTTCTATTTTTTCTGAAATACTCTAGTTTTAGATGTTTCTTCTGCTGAGGATTTTTATTGTGTTACCATCTATGTTCTAAAAACTATGCATCATTTTAAAAGGGCAAAATCCAAAGAAAAACTAGCAAGTTGTTGATAATAAGTATTTTAAATATTTAAAGTAAATGTTGTGTTGTATAAAGAGAGATAAAAAGAGATATTCAGGTTGGTTTAAAATTATTGCAGAATTAAATTTGCTTCTGCAAAATGAATACAGAAGCAGTATTTAATTTCTAAGTAGTAATTAACTGACTAGGGCTGCAACTAACAATTATTTTGCCAATCGATTAATCTTTTGATTATTTTTACATTAATCGATTAATATTCAAATAGCCAAAGATTGTTTTTTTTTAGGAAGTTTAGTCAGGTGAAACTAAAACTTTTCCACTTGGTGAGTTTTGGATAGAGCATATTGACAGATGAAAACGTTTTTTTTATTAAATGCAAAATGTTTATATGTTTTTTTTTACTATTTTTATATAATTACTACTCTCAGTGTTGTTCCGGGAACTAAAGGCATGTTTTACAATCTCTTTACTCGATTCTCTTTAACGATTTATTGAATACTAAATTATTTGACGATTATTTCAATAATTGTTTAATCACGATTAACTCGATCCACTTGGATGGAAATTCAGCTTTTTTTCTTTGTTAGTTAAAACTTGAATCTTGTTGTTTTTTAATGGTTTCTCTTTCCAGTATACAAGGTGTTTGAGAATGTGGCGGAGAAATACGACATCATGAACGATGCCATGAGCCTCGGCATCCATCGACTTTGGAAGGATATGCTCCTGCACGTCATGCACCCGCAGCCTGGCGCTCGACTCCTGGATGTGGCCGGTGGAACAGGTATTGAAAAAATAAATAAAGTCGATTTAATGATCCTCCAGCTGAATCCTCCACTTAACCGTGTGCTTATTTTTCACCTGCAGGTGACATTTCTTTTCGTTTCCTGGACTACGTTTATCATCAGCAAGAGAGACAGAAGCGGCGAGCTTTGGGCTCCAGTCAGACGCTGTCATGGCAGGATATTTCTGAGAAGTACCCCGCTGAGGACGCTCCCCATGAGTCCAATTCTGTGGTTTGCGACATCAACAAAGAGATGCTGAAAGTGGGAAAACAGAGAGCTGACAGCATGGGCATCACATCAGGTTAGCTTAAAACCTGCAGGTGTTTAGTTAATCTGCCTCCATTAATGTTGATCAAAGTTTAGCGGCTCCATATATCTGTTCATGAACATGTATAGATGCCACAGAGACAGATTGACTTCAGCTGGATGATTTTAAAGGTAAAAGAGCTGCCGTTTGTTTCCAGGTCTTTCATGGGTGGTGGGAGACGCAGAAGAGCTGCCCTTCGATGATGACCAGTTTGATATTTACACCATCGCCTTTGGCATTCGGAATGTCACACACATCGATCAGGTAACAAAGATCTTGATCAAAGTGAAAATTGTGTCAAAGAAATGTGTTTAAATAGAGAAAAAAAGTGTAATTTTCTATTTTACAGCTGTGACTTAAAAAAAAAAAAAGATTTCTCTCTTTCTCTAGACCTTTTTTTTCCCTCCTACAGATTATTGATTACAAATGTGGCCGTTCTTTCCTAATAGATAACCAGTTTAGTATTAATTTCCATTTTTAGGCTCTTCAAGAGGCTTTTCGTGTCCTGAAGCCTGGTGGCAGATTCATGTGTTTAGAGTTCAGCAAAGTGACCAATCCTGTTCTAGCGCGGTAAGTAGGTTTGTTTAATACGACACAGCGAATTATTGGATGGACCTTTGAACCAAATCACTTCCTGCTCATTTCTTTTTAGAGCGGCTTTCAGCTGGATTATAACCCTTATCTCTTGTCTACTTTTCAGCCTGTATGATGCGTACAGTTTCCAGGTGATCCCGGTGTTAGGAGAGGTTATTGCTGGAGACTGGAAGTCCTATCAGTATTTGGTGGAGAGCATCCGCAACTTTCCAGATCAGGTGAAGCAGGTTTAAGTCCAGTTTTTTATCTCTGCCTGGCAAAGCATCAGTTTTTTTTTTTTTT